TAGAGTTCGTCTTTCTCTGTCTGGCTTATTTCACTTAACATAATACCCTCGAGGTCCATCCACGTTGATGCGAATGGAACAATTTTGTCCTTTTTTATGGCTGAGTAGTATTCCATTGTGTATATATACCATATCTTCTTTATCCAATCATCAGTTTCTGGGCATTTAGGTTGGTTCCACGTCTTGGCTATTGTAAATAATGCTGCGATGAACATAGGGGTGCAAGGGACTCTTGGGATTGCCAATTTCAGGTTCTTAGGATAGATACCCAGTAGTGGGATGGCTGGGTCATAAGGTATTTCTATTTTTAAGTTTTTGAGAAATCTCCATACCGTTTTCCATAGTGGCTGCACTAGTTTGCATTCCCACCAACAGTGTATGAGGGTTCCTCTTTCTCCACAACCTCTCCAACATTTGTCGCTCTTGGTTTTGGATGTTTTTGCCAATCTAACGGGTGTAAGGTGATATCTTAGTGTAGTTTTGATTTGCATTTCCCTGATGATTAGCGATGATGAACATCTTTTCATGTGTCTATTGGCCATACTTATATCTTCTTTGGAGAAATGTCTGTTCATGTCCTCTGCCCATTTTTTGATCGGGTTGTTTTTTTTGTTGTTGTTAAGCTGTGTGAGTTCTTTGTATATTATGGAGATTAACCCTTTGTCGGATAAGTGGCTTGTAAATATTTTTTCCCAATTAGTGGGCTGTTTTTTTGTTTCAATCCTGTTTTCCCTTGCCTTGAAGAAGCTCTTTAGTCTGATGAAGTCCCATTTGTTTATTCTTTCTATTGTTTCCCTCAACTGAGGAGTTATAGTGTCCGAAAAGATTCTTTTGAAACTGATGTCAAAGAGTGTACTGCCTATATTCTCTTCTAGAGGACTTATTGTTTCAGGCCTAATCTTTAGGTCTTTGATCCATTTTGAGTTTATTTTGGTGTGTGGTGAAAAAGAATAGTCAATTTTCAATCTTTTGCATGTGGCTGTCCAGTTTTTCCAGCACCATTTGTTAAAGAGACTTTCTTTTCTCCAATGTAGGCCCTCCGCTCCTTTGTTGAAGATTAGCTGTCCATAGATGTGTGGTTTTATCTCTGGGCTTTCAATTCTGTTCCATTGATCTGTGCACCTGTTTTTGTACTAGTACCATGCTGTTTTGATCACTGTAGCTTTGTAGTATGTTTTGAAATCGGGGATTGTGATGCCTCCGGCTTTGTTTTTCTTACTCAGGATTGCTTTAGCAATTCGCGGTCTTTGGTTGCCCCATATGAATTTTAGGATTCTTTGGTCAATTTCTGTAAAGAATGTCCTTGGGATTCTGATTGGGATAGCGTTGAATCTGTAGATTGCTATAGGTAGTATGGACATTTTAACTGTGTTTATTCTTCCAATCCATGTGCATGGAATGTCTTTCCATCTCTTTATGTCGTCATCAATTTCTTTCAAGAAATTCTTGTAGTTTTCATTGTATAGATCTTTCACTTCCTTGGTTAAATTTATCCCAAGGTATTTTATTCTTTTCGTTGCGATTGTGAATGGGATTGAGTTCTTGAGTTCTTTTTCTGTGAGTTCATTGTTAGTGTATAGAAATGCTACTGATTTATGTATGTTGATTTTATACCCTGCTACTTTGCTGTAGTTGTTGATTGTTTCTAATAGTTTTTCTATGGATTCTTTGGGGTTTTCTATATATAAGATCATGTCGTCTGCAAACAGCGAGAGTTTTATGTCTTCATTACCTATTTCGATTCCTTTTATTTCTTTTTCCTGCCGAATTGCTCTGGCCAACACCTCCAGTACTATGTTGAACAGGAGTGGTGAAAGTGGGCACCCTTGTCTTGTTCCTGTCCTCAGAGGGATGGCTTTCAGTTTTTGTCCATTGAGTATGATGTTGGCTGTGGGCTCATTTGGTTTTATTGATGTGGAAACTGAGGCCTAGAGTGGCATGGTCACTTGGCCAAGGTTAATGGCAGAGCTGGAATTTGAATACCTAGATGAGTCTTAGCTTCCTCCCTCGTACAGTGGAGATCAAGATATTTACTCAGGTTACTATGAGGATCAAATATGACAAAATCAGTGAAAACACTCTGAAAACTGCAACTTGGTACAGGTACCTTAAAAATATTTTTTTTATTAAGATATGCTGCTTTCCATATGCTAATTGTTAATAACTAATAAATGTTGGCATGTGGCTCTTTCAAGTGGGATCTGCACTTTGAAAGAGGAGGTCCTGAGGGCACATCTAACCCTGGAGGAAAAAATTGGACAAAGAAGCTTTCTAGGTTCCTCTCAAATCACTTAACCGAGTAGAACCATATATTTTAGCAGTAAGAACAAAGCATGCTTTCAGAGGCCAGAGAGCTAAGAACTGTGTAAAGAATCTGAAAAACTGCCCACATAGTAGTTCTAGCAACTAAAGTGGGGTTTGATTAAATTAACTTAAAATTCTCTTCTGACAACAGAAGTTCTGTAATTGTGTGATTCCAATTGATTCATTTTTACAATACACAGTCCTGTTCATGTGCTTTCTCTTCAGATTCAGAAACATCAGTGCCTGCAATGTGTTACAAATTGCTATCCTGATCTTATTGTTTATATATTTTTATTGAGATGCAACTGACATATAACATTATGTAAGTTTGAGGTGTACAAAGTGTTGGTTTGATTGACCCTGATCTTCGAAAAGAAAAATAAAAAGGAAAAAGGACCCAACACCCTCACACAATGAGCACATACTCACACACACACAGAACACTTTAACAATTTGGGGTTTTTGTAAGTTAAAGTGAACATGAAGGAAAAGGGCCATAACTTCTGGCCTTCAAACTGCCAATGTTAATAGACTGAGTTTGAGTATTATTTAATGACACTCTGCAAGGAAGAAAATCCCAGTCTCAGTATTGGGATGAATCTGAAGTCCCAACCAGTCATTCCAGTTAGCTGCCTGATGTCTGCGTGGCCACGTGAACGGAAGTGGAATCATTAGGCTTTACTCCGAAGCCCCTCATGGAGGGATCAAATGAAACTTCTTTTTTAAAAATCACATTTTTATACCCCGAGTACTTGATACATAGGAGGTGCTCTGGATGCATGTGTTCAATGAATGAATAAAATACATCAGCGTGTTGTAGGTCAGGACTAGGAGGGTAAGGAGCCGGTTATTCCAGACTTTGTGTAAAAGGCACAGAAGTGTCAGAGACCACAGCTCCTTTGAGAAACAACAGGAAGTTCGGTTGCCTGAAGTAGAGAGTGCTCCGTGGTGGAGGTGGAACGCTAGAAATGAGGCTGGGCAGGTGGGGCCAGATGCTCTGCCGTGGAGTTTGGATCTTATCCTGAAAGCAAAGCGGGACAGAAAGGGAGTAGAAAAGGGCTTGAGGGGCCGGCCCCGTAGCCGAGTGGTTAAGTTCATGCGCTCTGCTTTGGCGGTCCAGGGTTTCGCCAGTTCAGATTCTGGGCGCGGACACGGCCCCGCTCATCAGGCTGCGCTGAGACAGTGTCCCACATGCCACAACTAGAAGGACCCACAACTAAAAATACACAACTATGTACCTGGGGGCTTTGGGGAGAAAAAGGAAAAATAAAATCTTACAAAAAAAAAAAAAAAGAAGAGAAAAGGATTTGAAGCTGAAGTGGCTTTTTAGGCTGGGGTGTGGTGACATGATTATATTTGTGTTTTAGAGACAACGCTGGCTTCTGGTGTAAAATGGATGAGGAGAGGAGCGTTGGGAGGCCAGCCAGGAGGGTGCAAGCCTAGAGGCAAAATGCCGGGCTAGGAGGCTCTTTGGCAGTTGTGCAAACAGGATGAGGACCTGAGCGAAGCAGTGGTAGCAAGCAGAGATGGAGAGATATTTAGGATAGAATGAGCGGCCAAAGAGGTATTGAAAGAAGAGAGTGAACTCTTGAGAGAGCACTGCCCGCCCTCCCCCCACCCCGCCAAAACCCAATGACATTTACCAGTAATCAAGTAGAAAACAGAGCCTTGTGATAGCAGCAGCGGTGAGAAATGGCCCAGGGGTGAGCTGACAGTAAATCTACTATGCATCAGCCACGTGATATGGCAGTCGAGAAAGTGAATGCCATCTTAGGGAGCTGCAGCAGAAAAGTCTAGTGTCTAGACAAGGGACATGACCGTCCTGGTCTGCTCTGTGCAGAAGGGTCTGTGTCCTGGGGCTTGGGGGACGGGGGGAAGGGTAGACTCAGTTTTCCCCCTTCCACTTTCGAAAGATATAAAGGAATTGGTGTAAACTCAAAGAAGAGACTTGAACCCAGGTCTTTGGAGCAATAGAGTCTGGAAGAAGTGTGGGGCCAGAAGATTTGTCTTCAAATTGTTGGACTACTATGTGGAAGAGGGGCAAAGCTGGCTCTGCTTGGCCTCGAGGGGCCAGAAGTTACCAGGGGGCCAATTTCACTCAGCCTCAAGCCCTGAGGCAGAGACCCAAGCAGTGGCGGTCTGCGGAGCCAGTGAGTCCTGGTCTCGGGAAGCTGTCCAGACTAGAAGGCAGGGACCCTGTACATGGGACCAAAAAAACACCCCAAACAAAAACAACCAGTGCGGGGATAGAGTCAGTATGACCTTCGAGGTTCTTGCTGACCCTGTGATGTGTAAGTTCTGGTCAAGCGGGTGCACATTTCTCAGCAGTCCTGCCTCAGGGATGAAGAGGACAACAGGACCTCTCTCATTAGCTTTCTCATACTCGTTTATTCAAAGCAAATAGGTCGCGTAGAGGTCGGCAGCCCAGGTAAGCTGCAGCCTCTAAATCACTGTAACTTTGTGCGGGGGGAGCCTGGGCCAAGTCTTGCAATCGTCAGGAGCAACCGCGCAGTGGGATAAACTTTGGCTCCAGCTTTGCCACACGAGAGGGGCGGGGTTACTTGAATGGGTCCTCAGGAGAAGGCGATTGGCCCTGGGGGAATCGAAGGGGCGGGACTAGGCCATGGTTGCCATTGGTCCTGCGGGCAAGTTGAGGGATGGCAGCGAGGGGGCGGAGCCCGCGAGGGGAGGCAATCTGCTTGGCAAGAGCCCACCGAGGGGAGCGGGCGGGCAGGCGGGCGAACCCGCAGCCGGGAGCCAGAAGGCCGGAGCCAGGAGGCAGCTGCGGCGAGCGCGCCAGGGCCGCGGCGGGGCGAGGGGCGCGCGGGGCGTTGGCACTGGGGCGCGCGCCTGCGTCGGCGGCTTGGATGCGGCGGAGACGCTTCTGCACCCCGCGCGCTCGACGCGAGCCATTCAACAGCTGGCCTCGCGGGCCACAGTTGCAGCGAGCCGGTTGGAGCGTTAACGGTTGCGACTGCGGCTGCTGGAAAGAGGCGGCGGCGGCGGCGGCGGCGGCGGCGGCGGTGCTAGTCCAGCTGTCCCGGCGGAGACCCGAGTGGAGACTCAGAGGCTCCTTAGGCTCCCGGTAAATGCCCTTCGCTCTGCTCGCAGAGAAGGCAGCCACGTGCCGCTGCGTTCCTGCCGGCTGGCCTCCCTGGCCTACGGGGGCTGTGGTGCCTCGCAGACAGGGCCACGCGGATCCTCGGTGGGGACTGGGGAGGGGATGCGCCGGAGACCTGGGTCGCCCCACCTGCCCTTGCAGAGTCAGCTTTTCCAGAGATGCACCTAGGCTCTTCCCCTGGTTCTCTCCCTTAGCCCTAGAGCTTGCTGCCCTGACACCGCACTAGGGGGCGCTCTGGCAGCCAGTCAAGGGCTGGCTCTGGCCGCTGCTCCAGCCGAGGTCACTTGAGGCACTCCCCTGGGGTACGCTGGCAATGGCATCCCGCTAATGGGAACTGAAGGTGAAGCTTGGGCTTCCTCCCTGCTCCGGCTGAACTCATTCAATTAATCATTAGCAGGGCTCCACCGACCCCCTCCCCCTGATAACTGGGTCCTTGGCTTCAGAGATTCGCCTAGAGTCTGACTTGAGGTTTCCAGTGCGAGTGGAATAAGACCGTTTCCAATCTGACTGGGAGGGCGGGGCTCACCCACAAGGCACAGGACACGGGGTCCTGATTGGGGGGCAGCAGGGCGAGGGGAAGAAGTTGGAAAGGCCCATGCAGTAGGAGAAACTGCCATCCCTGAACGCTGGGGAATCATGTCGTCTTGGCCTTTGGGACCTGCGTCTTGTTCACACTTGGTCTCCCGCTTTTTGCAATTTTATTTAAAGCCAGCCACTACCAGATAACTTTTGAATGCTGTCCACTCCAAGGAGTGACTTGTATCAGAAAACTGGGTTTCAGCATGAGGACTGGTTATCCTTTGGGCCTTTTCATCTTCTCTGTGTCTTTTCTAAGTTGAGAATAAAGTTCCAAGGATCATGCCCATTTTATGCTGTTTTTCTGCCTGCCTCTGCTCTAACTTTGGAAATTTATGCTGTTGGAAGAGTGTGCTCCTGCAGCATGATTGGTAGGGCTCAGTATTCATGCTGAGAAAACCACTCTGGGATAATATAGTTGGGACCTCTCAAGTTCTGGTTGTTTTGTTTGCTTTATAAGAATGTGGCATTCCAGTAGTCACATTTTTCTGTGCCTTGTTTTTTTGTTTGGGAGGGAGTCACTCAAAGCATGGAGTAACTTGCATGAAGTATTTTTACCTGGACTCTTGCAAAGTACAGAGAAAAGTGCCAAGTGGAATAGGCCTGCTGGCGCTGGTGCCCCAGGGATCCCAGCTATCACTATATCAGAGGGTGGGTGGGGCTGACTTGAGGTGGTCAGACATTGTGGGGAGGGCACAGGGCCTGCAGAGGCCATCTTGGCGCCTGCGGTGGGTCATTAGTCCCAGCCAAAGATCACACCTGCATTGTGGCCCATTTGTCCGGTTCCCCATCATACACTCATGTGAAGAGCGTGGCCTTTGACTGGCTTCGTGTGTCATCTCCAGCTTCAGAAGGAAAGGTAGGCACGGAGGTTTGGGAATGTGAAGGTAATGGTGGTGGCAGGTGGGGGGGGGAGCTGTGTGAGAGAAAGAGACTTGTTTCAAATGTCAAAGCAGCTCTCTGCCATGGAGACTGGCTACATGTCTATCTTCCCAGCATGCATTCCTGCCTTTGCTAGAGAGAGGGGCTTTTGCTGAGTTGTTTCAGAGCCAGGGTGGTGTTACTTGTGCAACTCTCTGATTTAGTGTCCACCTGGGTCTATGTGAGTACTATGTTATATGCAACATGTTCCCGGAGCTTTTAGAAGCTTTAAAGCCAAGCTAGGGGCTGAGGTAAACTAATGCCTGGGGCTCAGTCTGAACAAACGTGGACTGACCGCATGGAATCCAGTGATGTGCATCCTCAGAAGAGATAGCACGAGGGCTAGACCACTTACAGGAGGAGAGAAGGGCCGCCGTAACAATAATAAGAGCTCACATTCATTGAGCACTTCCTGGGGCTTAAGTACTTTACTTGCATCATTTCCCTTAATCCTTTTAAAAATTCTGTAAGGTAGGTGCTGTTATCATCTTCTGAAGCTCAAAGAGGTTGGGTAACTCACCCAGCTGGTTGATGGCAGAAGTGGGGTTTGAACTCAGATCTGCTTGACACCAGCCCTTGAACTTGAAAGCATGTTACTTTTTACTGTCATAGAGAAGATTTCATAAAAGGGGGAGGATGTGAGCAAGGCTTTGAAGGGTGGGTGGAACTTACATAGGGAGACAGGACATTTGGTCGAGGGGATCAACATGTTTGAAGGAAGTCAAGGAAAACTAGCCCAGTTAGAATGGCGGGTGGAAACAGGGTCACGATGAAATATCAGGCTCTTGAGGTGGGGCGGCGTCATGTTTTAGAGAGCTTTGAGAGGAACCTGTGATTTGATGCAGTAAAAAAGAGGGAGATGGTGAGAATTTTTGAGCAAGGAAGGCCATAGCAAAACCAGTACCAGTCACTTGGTGTGCCCTACTTGGGTCCCTGAGCCTGTTTCTGTCTCACTCTTTTTTGAGAACCTTGCCCAGTTGTCAGCATATTTTAACTCTTGTTTTTGAATTTCCTGAACCCTTGGGGAGCACCAGGTACATGCAACCAAACAGATTCCTGGGCTCAGTGTGCAGAAGGAGCCAGCTAGGAGAGGGGCCCTGGGTCAGATTCAGCCTGAGATGGGTATGCTTCAGCCTGCACAGTATTTTAAAAGGCTTCTGTTTTAAAAATTAAGGGTCAACATTGAAAAACCAAAAGATCTCAGTAAAAATCAGGATTTCCAGCTTTTCCAATGCCAGAAGGCAAATCTGTGCAGTGCTGACTCTTTAGCTGGGGTCTGGGTGCTCCACGTCCACCCCTGCCCTCCCCCCATGCTGGGACCTGCCTGACCCTGTAGGCCCCACACCCCTACTCTGGAGAAATAAACCCTCGCTCGGGAAGATTCTCATTCAGGATTAGCTTCTTGTCTTACTGTGTAATTAGGGAATTGTTGGACACGCAGTAGAACTGACTCTGTGAAATGTGAATAATCTTAACACACAGGGATGCTGTAGATATCGCTGGGGATGGGCTGATGGCCAGGGACTGAGCATTTTCCATAGGTGGTACCTTTCCTCTGGTCTGGGCTTTTGAAGCCCGCTATGCTAGCGCCCCCAAGAAACACTCTGGCGGGCCTCACTCTTCTCTTTTATCCTTCACTTGGACTCAGGTTTTCTTTCTGCTGAATACTTGGTGTATGTAGGATATGGATCCAAATGATCCAAAGAGGTCAGGGGAAAAAAACAACTCAGAACTGACTACCTAAAAAGTAGCATGTTAAAATATTAATCTGGAAGTCCCTGAAGGCACGCCATGTGTTCTAGATGGACAGGAATCAGCCATTTCTGGGTTGGCATTTGGGGCGGAACGTTCTTCATTGTGCAGCTCTGTCCAGCCACTGCATGGCATTTAGCAACCCTGGCCCCTACTTACCGAATGGCAGCAGTGCCCCTCCCTACACCAGTTACTGTGACAACGACAATCAACTGTTCTTGTGCATGTCCCAGTACTCTTGAAGGGAGCGGTACTAGCACATTTGAGAATCACTGAGGCATAGTCCCAGGGATTCTAACACTCATTTCACGTGAAAGAGTGTTAAAACCATTGTCACTTCTCTGTGGCCCAAAGTAGCCCATGCTTCTCACGGCTTTCACCATCTTCTTCCTCAGATTCCAGATAATTGTCTTAATTTCTTTCTCTTTCTAGACTCAGTTCTTTGAAGTTGACTCGTCACTGTAGCCCCCCGACTGTCATAAACGGAGTGGTTGCTTGGTAAGTACTTGATAGATCTCTGCATCCACTGAGTACTGTTAGTGGCACTAGGAGCTGGAAAGAACAAGCAAGTCTGCATTAGCATTTCACTCTTCCTCTTTAGGTGCTATTCTCAGTACTTTCAGTATGAAAGTAACACCTTTTTAAATGTAGTTGATGAGCAGATTCTCTGTTTTAGGTAAGATTTAGCATTAGTAAGTTCCTATGATGTTCTAGGCTCTGAAGATAAAACAGTGAACCAGACAGATGCAGCCCCTGCCCTCGGGGAACTTACAGACTCGGGGGTGGGGTGGGACAGATAAAAAACAGCTTGACAAATATGCATGATAATTTGATCATTTCAGTGTTACAGTGAAAAAAAAAAGGGGCTGATATGCTACAACATGATGGGGTGGGAACAGTGCTATTTAAGATGGTGTTCAGTGAGCCAGCCCTAGATGGCCTAAAGTTCCACACGCTCCATCTTGGTGGCCCAGGTTCCGTTCCCGGGCACGGAACCACACCACTCATCTGTCAGTAGCTATGCTGTGACAGTGGCTCACACAGAAGAACCAGAAGAATTTTGAACTATGTACCAGAGCTTTGGTTGGGGGGAAAGGAAGGAAAAAGGAGGAAGATTGGCAACAGATGTTAGCTTAGGGTGAATCTTGCTCTGCAAAAAAAAAAAAAAAGAAAGAAAGATAGTGTTCAGGGAAGGCTTCTCTGAGCCAAATCTGAAAAATGAGAAGGAGCCAGCCGTGAGAGAATCCTGGAGGAGGGAGCACTTCAGCCAGAGGAGGCACAAGTGCAAAGGCTGTGAGGAGTGAACCCAGTGCATTTGAGGAACAGTAAAAAGGCCAGTGTGACTAGAATGGAGAGAAGAAGGGCAGGAGGGGAGAAGGGGACAAAATGAGTTGAAAGAGGTGGGCACGGGCTGTATTTTGAGGGTAAGCAGTTTGGATTTTGTTCAAAGCATGATGGGAAGCCACCGGAAGGTTTTGAAGGGAGGAGTGACATGATCTAACTTCAGGTTTAATAAAACCGTTTTGACTGTTGTGCAGTGTTGACTCTCTGGGGGCAAGGATGAAAGAAGAGAGACCCGTTGGGAGGCTGCTGCAGTAATCGAGCTTAGAGATGGTAGCAGCTTGGAGCTGGGGAGTAATAGGGAAGATGGAGATGGCTTTGGAATGTGTGGCCAAGGTGGGGTCAAAGGACTTGCTGGAGGATTGAATCTGAGAAGAAAGGAGGAATATGACTTGGTTTTCAGCTTGAGCCCCTGGGTGTGGGGTGGCTCTCTTTAGGGAGATGGGAATCACTGGGTGGGGGGAGCAAGTTTGAGGTGGAGGGGAGGTTTGGGGGGATGGAAATTAAAGAGCTCTGTTGTTAGGTTGAGATGCAAATAAAACATTCAGCTTGGAGACGTTGAATAGCCAGTTGAATATCAATGTAAAGGTTGGCTGGAGCTTCAGCCTACATAAAAATTAAGTGCAAATTAAAGCCACTTTAAGTTGCCATTAGAGGCTAATAAAGATAGCAGAAATAAAAATGCTAACGATCCAATGTGAGCCAGGCTGCAAGGAAATCAGGCATGTTAATACTGCTAATGGTGTAATAAATCGACAGTCCTTCAGGAGAACAATTTGATGATATACAACAAGCCATATAAACTTATTCCTACCCTTTGACGTGGTAAAATAGTTTGAGGAAATCATTTTCTGAAAGATTTGTACAAAGATTTTCATAGAGATGCTCTTTCTCATCTGAGAAGTATAGAGTATTGCTCTTTCAAAAAAAAAAAAACACACAATAATTGGAAAACACAAGTCCCCAGGCAGGGGAAATATCTAACCAAATATGTAGTATCTATAGAATTTCTATAGAATTTACACAGAGATTTGCTAAAGGCATGAAAAATGTGAAATGTGTTGACCACATCAATATCTGGAATTATTATTAAACAGGTGCAAAATCCAGATCATGATGGTTCATAAGTAAACTGTGTAAATCTCACATGTTGCTCGTGTTGAATATTGTAAATATGCAGTTGTCTTCTTTTTTTAACTTTTCACCCACATGCGATTTTGTATCTCTTTCTCTCTGACAGTGTTCCCTGGTCAGGATGCCATGAGACAGCGCTCCGGCATGAAGAGTTCACATGAATTGTGGCTTCTCATGTCTTTCGTCCCTTGATCACATTTCTGCCATAAGGTATTGAGTAATATCCTATTCTGCAGGATTCGTACTCAAATAAATTTACCTTGAGATTCTAAAGAGGTTGGGAAACACTGCTGCTCTCAGAACAGTTTAGTAGCGCAAAGCAGGGCCCCTTGTAAGGGTTGCTTTTCCCCTGTAGGTGGCGACTCATGGGCAGGAATTTTGCTGGTAATTTTCAGGCTGTGATAAGACTGAGAAGCAAAACACTGGTGACTTCATGATATGGGTTTCCCATAAATAATACTCCGACTGTTCAGTGAGTGAGGCAAAAGTGCAGAAGATACTCAGCCACATTCCTTTAACTCCCTGATAGCTTTTTTTAATGTGAAGAAGAGAAAGCTATGATTCTGCTTTAGTATGGTAAATTAATCCAAGGTGTAAAGCAGAATTCCTGGCTGGAAGTGTCTGGAAAAGATGTTCTACACCAAAAATGCGCCTGGTGCTAGAGAAGGGCCAAAAAGACCAAAAGACTGGTCAGAGAGGTCTGCGGACTGCTCTATGCGTGTTTGAAAAAATAGTTCCCTCCCAATGATGCAGTGACTCCTGTCCTCACTAACAGACATTATGTAGACAGGCCTAATGCAAACCTTTTTTAGGTCAGTTTATTTTTATTAGCCTTAGAAACGCTTTGCTTTCACAGACATTATCACATAAAGGAAACATTAGTGTGATCTTTTAAAATAGGGAAACCAAAACAGGAAATTAAGTTGCCCAAAGACACAAATGAACATCGATCCAGTTGTCTTCATTTTAAGATCAAAATTTCCCATACTAGACTCTACCTGAGAGCAGATTTTCTTTGAGGGGTGGTAGGAGAGATTCTCTTTCAGTACAACTCTAGTATTTCATGGTCGCAAATTTATCATTGCTAAATGGCTGTGGGTCTCTAAAAGTCCTTTCTGTCCTGAAAGCCCCCAGTGCCCCAATAAGCTCTTTAGGACCTCCTTAATTTGGGAATGTAGTCATTTGGAGGATCCTGTATTGGCTATATTTCTATTGTAACACTGGGTGCTGCTCATTTCAGTGACGTGGGTTTGTTTTGTTTTGTTTTTTGGTGAGGAAGATTGGCTCTGAGCTAACATCTGTTGCCAATCTTCCTCTTTTTGCCTGAGGAAGATTGTCCCTGAGCTAACATCTGTGCCCATCTTCCTCTCCTTTGTATGTGGGACACTGCCACAGCGTGGCTTGATGAGTGTTGTGTAGCTCTGCACCTGGGATCCAAACCTGTGAATCCCGGCCTGCCAAAGCAGAGCACACGAACTTAACCACTATGCTACCAGGCCAGCCCCAATGATGTGGTTTTAAAATTTTTCAAGATCAGAGCACACGGTCAGCCTCAGTTTTAAAAATGTTGTTTGGGTTAATGATGTGTCAGAACACATGAGCGTTCATCCATGAGCTCTTGACTAAAGAGCCAGGGAATGTTTCTGTCTGGTCAAGACTTACTGGGATTCTGTAGAGCCAGGAAATTGAAAATTGCCTAGTTGAATTGACCCAAATACATTTTGGCTGCCCTGCTGACCATAAACATGTTGATATAATTTTATACATCTTAAATGTTTTTAAAATGACTAACTTGAAGGTTCAAAAGCCTGGAGAAAAAAGAAAGGCAACAAAGAATTACTTTGAAAGAGGATATTGAGTTGTCCAGATAGTCCTGTTTTATCACAGTTTTTAAAAAATGTGCCGCATTCAAATGGCCTTGCTGGCACTCTGACAGCAAATATTTATGAGGGTGACAAAAAGTGAGAGAGAATGAATGATACTTTACTTATGACTCAAGTGCTTTTAAAGTTCTAAAGTTATATTTCTGATCTAAAAACACTTAGATAGATCAGAGGAATCTCTCTAGTATCTTCTGCAATGAAAGAAGGTATTGGAGTGACTTTGGATGCAGACCCTGCAGAGTTTCTTGAATTTTCACTGCAGGTTAAAACAACCATTTTAGGCTTGTGAGAATATCTCAAGACCATTTCTTTTCTCTCTTCTCTTATTCTACTGTTATTCAGTCTGAGAAGTATAGAGTATTGCTCTTTCAATACTAGGGTCTAGAGCAACGAAGATGAGGTGGACAGATGCCTAGAGAAAGCAGCCATGTTCTCTGAGAATCTGCTAGAAATGTTCTGGCATTGGGAGCATGTTGAGTGAAATGCTTTGGTAAAGCTATGTACACAAGATACTGCTGGAATGCCCACTGTGTAAACATTATTGAATAACTATAATTTTTTAAGGTTAGAGGAGCTCTCATTTGCCTCTGCAAAGGTGTTAAAGAATAAGTGAGTTCAGCCGTGTTGCTAGAAGAAAGATATTGTATGTGGGGGGATTGGGAGGTCATGGTGGAACATGATAGAATATGGGAATAGTTAAAAATCTTTAGTAAAATTCAAGTTTTTGGTAATTTATGGAGGCCATAATTAGGGCATTACTTGCCAGCAGGGCTTGGCTTATACTAGGCTCTTAAATTTTTGTTGAATAAAGTAATCTATGCATGTGACAGTGAAGGTGAAAATGATGGGAAAATTGTTAATGAATTCTACCATTACTGTCATTTGAAGCACAGACATATTAAAAGGGAATTTAGATGGCAAATTAGGTTGTTCTAAAGAACCAATTTTAAGTTATAGTCTAATAACTTGATCTCAGTGATTCTACCTGTTTTAGTAGATATATTTTTATTAATATATTTAAATATACATAATATAACGATGTGTACTAAATAATATATCTAACTTAAAATGATTATTTAAAAAATATGTTTATTTGATTTAAATGGGGTTGAAAACAGGGATTATATGGGGAGAAAAGCACAAGCATTTTTGGACCTATTTTCAAGAGCAAAGTAGGGCCCTATACAACTTTAACTAGATTCAAGGATTTGGCACATTTAAGCTTGGAGTTGAGAAAGTATCCTGATTTAAAAGAAAGCACCTGTTAAAGTTGAGTATTGGATGTAACTGTGAGTATTTTCCAGAAACATCCGTCTGTTTTTGCTATAAAATAAATCAGTTATGACTTAAACATTCTGCAGACAGATCAGTCGTTGCTGGGGGCGGGGAAAGGATGACGAAGGGGCTCAAGGAAACAGTTGGGGATGAGGGGCATTTTCACGATCTTGACTGTGGTGATGGTTTCATAGATGTGTATACATATGTCAAAACTCACCAAAATGTATACTTTTGATACATATGCAGTTTATTATGTTATGGAATGTGTGGCTTATCGTATATCAATTATGCTTCAATAGAGCAGTTTTTAAAAATAACTTCTGCAGCCTATGGTATAGCTAGTATTGAAGTGGCCGAGGGCTCCTTTGTTATCCACAGTCCTAATCCCCCAGGCTTCAGTCTTGACTCACACAAACCTTGGTTATGAGTTCAGATTCCTATGGGCATTTACAGTGATGGCAGATAGAGGGGTGTCTTTGATGGGGCAAGGGAGTTGCTATTGTATTACTCTGTTTTGGCTCTTTTCTGGGTAAGTTTGTATCAGTAGTTTCGAATTGCTTCCTTTTAATGGTTTCTTATCATCATGTGAGTTTCCTCTTTTTAATTAAAAAATATATAAAATTAACACATGCTTATTGTAAACATTCAAAAATTCAAGCAGTAAGAAGTGCACAAAGCAAAAAGGAAGTCCATTCCCTTCCTATACTCCCAGTCCATTTCTCAGGAGAAATATTGTTAACAATTTGATGTACATCTTTCCAGACTTTATATATGGAGGGGTGTGTGTGTGCATGTGTGCTCGCCCATGCATGTATGTTTATATTGCTTTTATTATATTACTTTTACAAAAACAAGATCATATTGCACATTATTATTCTTCAAATTGCTTATTTTTTCCTCTAAAAAGTATCATGGGTGTTCTTCCCTGCCGGTAGGCACAGACCTAACCCTTCCTCTCTCCCTCCCTCCCTCCCTCCCTTCCTTCCTTCTCCTCTCTTCTTCCTTTTCCCTCTCCCCTCCTACCTGTCCCTGGCTCCTCCTCTTCTTCCTCCTTCTTCTTCATTTTTTGTTAGTTTTTGGCCTGAAGTCTCCTTAAGGAAAAGCATCACAACAGGAATTAATCGTTATTGTGCACCCACGTGTCGGGTGCTGTCTAATTAGTTTTTAGTGACCCGGCAAAAGTTGCCAATGACATTGCTGTAGCATTGAAGCCATGACATATGTAAAAAGCCTAGATCTTGGTACACACTAGGTCCTCAATATTTTTAAAAAAATGACATTGGAAGATTAGCTCTCTGTTCTGGGAGAGTATTTTTTTATTGAGGTCGCATTGGTTTCGAACATCATATAAGTTTCAGGTGTGCATCACTATATTTCGACTTCTGTATAGACTGCATCATGTTCACCACCGAAAGTCTAGTTGCCAGATGAAATTTTCGTAAGCGTTTCAGATCTAAAGCCTGTGAACAATAGGGGAGATATGAGAGGAACAAATGTCGAATTTGTCCTTGTTGCTGTTGTTGGGAAACAGGAATTCGAGTTGAGGATTTTAAAGGAGGCCAGTTTTTTAATTTTTAAAAATAACTAGGCCTTCTTGGGAAAGTCAGAAAACAACTTAAATGCTTCCCAATCAAGGTGTCAAGTCCTCCCACTAGAGAAACAGCTGTGAAAAGACAGATTCTAGAGGACAGGTCATGGGCTGGCAAGCCAGTGAGGCCTGTGGGTATGTTTATTTGCCCTTTACATTGTTTTAAGTTGTTTTAATTGATTGTAACATCTGAAAATCAGGTTTCACATAAGGACCTAGATTTCTGGCCTCTCTGAAATAAAGGGAGTATCTGGCCACCCTAGCCCTCCTCCCCTCATGGCATCTGCAGCTCAGTAGCAGCCACCCCTTTAGGTTGAGCACGTTCCTCAGTCTCTGCTCCATCTTCTTTGCTCCCTAAGACCATCTTGCTGTTCACTATAGTCATCCAAGTTGTGACCTCTGCTGTAAAATTTACTGCTTGTTTTTGCTTTGCTGTGGATGGAAGTGATAGCCAGTTTTTAAAAAAATGTCAAGAATACAGTACATCAAAGTATAAAATAATATTTGACTCATTTCTCTCCTAATTTGACAAGAACCTTTATTACACTTCAGGAAAGCAGAGAGACCTGGCTCAAATATAGAAGCTTGTTTTATTATGTAGAAATTACCCTTGTGAAGGATATGAGGCATATATTTAATCTCAAAAAGTGGATGATTTTAGTGTCTTTGTGAGTTTCATCTTAAGCGGAAGAGGAAATTGAAATTTTAAATAAAATCCATTTATATTGGTCATAATTTTAAAGGAATGATTAAAAATGCGTCTATTAAAAGTTATTAAATCAGTAAAAAGTTTTATTAAAACCACTGCAAAAAACTCATAACGCAATTTCTGAACTTCATTCCGATGCATACATAATTTTAACAAAATTGTACTCAAAATGACACCGCAATAAGCAGCTTTGAACATGTTCTTTTCTTACTTTTAATTATTTCCCTAAGATATTTCTAGAGCAGGTTCCTGGATCAAAGGGGATGAGCATTTACATGATTCTTGGTTTGTTTTGCCAGATTATTCTAGAAAAAGATGTAACTAATTTACATTATCTCTAGCAAGATATGAAGGTGTCTGTTTTTTCTTTCTTCCCCAAACTTTCCCCAGAATGGGTTTTTATAATGTTTATTTGTTTGTGTAAAAATTATTAAATGGAATTATGTATCTTGGAACTAATTAAAATTTAGATGTTTGTATCATCAGTAGCTACTATTGTATGACAAACTATTGCAAATCTTAGTGGCTTAAACAGCAACCATTTACTACTTCTCACAGTCTGTAGGTTGGCAGGACTGTTCTGCTGATCTGCAGTGGCTTCAGCTAATCTCAGCTGGGCTTGCTCAGGTGTCAGTGGTCAGCTGGGGGGTTGGCTGCAGGCTAGCTAGTCTAGGGTGGCTCATCTGTCATAAGTAGGTTCTTCTTCATGTACCGTCTCATCCTTCAACAGATTTACCCAGGTTTGGCCTCATGGCATGGCAGTGTTCCAGGAGAGGAAGAGCCACTTGACACCTAGGCTTAGAACTGGCACTCAGCCACTTCTGCCTCATCCTATTGGCAAAAAAAAAAAAAAAAAAAAAAAAAAAAAAAAGGGCCAGCTCACATTCAAGGGCTGGGAAAAAATAGACTCTATCTCTTGATAGCCATAAGTCAAAGTCATATTACAAAGGGTGTGGACACAGGGACAGGTGAAAAATCAGGATCATTTTTGTAACCATTATATCCCAACATTCAAATGAATGTTATCCTTCAATGTTGCCGTCTTTCAAAGCTCTATACCCATTCCGGCGATTATCCACTAATTAAAAAATAATAATTAGAGCCTTTCTTGGACTCTCCTTCTGAGGGAAGCTATCAACCAATAAAGAAAATCAGTTTGTTCTTTATAGTCACCCATTTTATCCAACATTCTCAGTTCTAGATAATTTTTCATGATTTCTAAATAGCAAATCCACGATAAAAGAATTTCAAAATTGACCTCCATCAAGGCTATTTAAAAGAATGTAACCCAGACTTTGAAGTCAATCCAAGAGAAGCATCCTAAAATGTTCAAAACAAAGGCTGTATCACGGGAATAAATGGAGAGCATGACAAACCTGATTCCTTTGCAGTGATTAATTATTTTGTGTGTATTTTTCCTGGAATATTTTTTTAAAGCGTTGCTTTAGATTTGGCTGTATAAATAAATACTTATTGACTTTAGGTAAACTTGGGGGTTCAGTATATCCTACTTGAATACGAAATTAATTTTTCTCCTGAAGGAGCTTAGTGTTGCTTCTTATTTATGTTGCAAATTGCAGCCAACTAACTGGATTTTTTCTTCATTTTGCTATTTAGATAATGTTTTTAGAGAAACAGAACATGTTTATTCTCATATCATCCCAGTTCAGCGTTTCTATCATAAGGACTTCTAGAACCTAATATCTTACATACTGCTTTTGGTGGCCTTTTAAAAAAACAATTTGTACAGATTTTGTCTCCTAAAGGGAGTTCACTTGGATTGTCCTTCAGGGACAGTTATTAAAGAAATAGCTACCCTGTAAAGTTAACCAAGATTTAGTAGTCAACTTTGTGTTGGAATTTCCATCATCTGGCCATGTATGTTTGGATCTAAATCTCCCTGAAGTTGACATTGATGAGGAACTCAGAAGATATAGACACTGATACATCCACTTTTAGAAAAAAGTCCTCTATTGGGAAGTGCTATTTGAAGTCAGCAAATAGGAGCAGAGATCCCTAATTCCAACATTAGCAATCTCATTCACCTGGGGACAGCTTGCAAGAGTTTGTTAATATGAAATGCCAGCAAGCATTCATGTTTTAGGGTTTTTCCAGTCTCTTTGTCACTCATTAGAAGAGATTGTCTCCTCTTCACTTAGTTAAAGGCAATAGACTGGAAAAATAAGAGTAGAGATGTCCGTGTAAGACTTAGAAACCAACCTGGATGAATGATGCTAAGTCAGGTGCATGGGTTAGAACTACTGGCTGGGTGCATGTTCATGAATGTAATACACATATTTAACTGTAGTCCTGTTTCTGTGCCGTCCCCAGCAGGTTTTTATGGGACTTTACATTTGAGATCAATTGTACAACAGATTGGAGATTTGGAATCTTGAGGTCTCCATGTATGGGCAAGTCATTTAATTTTCCTGAGTCTATCTGAATTTTCCCATCTGTAAAACAGGCATAAAATACCTACTCACAGATTGCTTCATGAATCAAATCAGATAAAGTAAGACCACTCCCACTAATAAATGATAGTCATGGCTTGTGTTTATCGAGAACTTCCTGTGTGCCAGGCACTATTCCAAGCATTTCGCATGCACTTGCTCGTTTAGTCCTCCCTGCAGTCCTCTTGTCTCCATTTTGTACTTAAGGAAACTGAGACACAGCAGTACATGGAAACTCTTTGAAACCTTAAACAAATGTAAGCTACTGTCTTAATTCTCTCCATATGCGTTCCCATATCAAGTTGACCTAAGTCTACCATTCAAAATCCAAATCTGTGTTTTGCCCCGTTTGTATCAAAATGCTCTCTTTCACCCTCTAAGCTTTCCTGCAGATACCATGACGGTCACGGTGGTGTATGATAATTCTGAGGCAACAGAGCTCTGTGCAGCTCAGCACCTCTACCTCAAGCCCATAGCAAAATTGATGATCAACGTCTTACTCCCAGAGAGTACGGAACCTCTGAGGCCCTTCTCTAACTGGGAAGTTCTTGACCAGCTGAAGAGCCTGATTTGCCCTGACCAGTTCACCACAGTTCGGCTCTCCAAGAGCACAAAGGACTTCATCCTATTCGAGGGTGAGGCTGAAACACGAAGTTTGGTTCAGATCCTGAAGGCAAAGTTACATGGGAAGATCATCAAGCTAAACGGTTTGAAAACAGACTTAAAAGTAGTGGCTACAGATGCCCAGGGAGAGTGGGAACACTTCCCCAAGGAAAAGGAGGCCCCATCGAGTGACGGGGCTGAGGATCAGGACCATGATAAGAGCCCAGATTCCATATATTTCGAAGGCCTGCCCTGCAAGTGGTTTGCACCTAAAGGTTCCAGCGGAGAGAAGCCGTGTGAAGAGATCCTTCGGGTAGTCTTTGAAAGTTTTGGGAAGATCAAGAATGTGGATATCCCTATGCTTGACCCCTACAGAGAAGTGATGACTGGTGGGAGCTTTGGGGGATTTAGCTTCGGCTTGCAGACATTCGAGGCCTTTATCCAGTACCAAGAGTCCACTGACTTCATAAAAGCCATGGAGTCCCTTCGAGGAATGAAGCTGATGCTTAAAGGAGATGATGGGAAGGCTCTGGCATGTAACATTAAGGTAAGAAGTAGCCAGAGTTTCTTTTATTTCCCACGTTTCAGGTGGTCCTAAGTAAAAGCCAGAAGAAAGCATCTAAAATAAATTTCCTTGCACTCTACTGAGCTCTGATCGATAGCTAATGTAAAGATTGTGTTGTCATTAATAAATGGATATTTAGGAAGAAAAACAATCCTGATTTGAACATTCTTCTACTACCAGGCGTGCTGCCAGCTGCGGTTTTAAAAGTGATGGCGGTTAGAATCTGGGGCTCTGCCCTAGCTTCTTGAGGGCGTTAAAGGATTCTTCATGGCCCTTATGGAACTATCTCGTATGCCTATTCTATTTGACAAGTTGCTGAGAGAGAGAGGAATGTATACAGTTTGAAACCATAAGGATAGCAGTTTACTCCCTTGTTACTCTTGGGGTCACAACTTATAGTTTCAGGATGTCCGTCAGGTAAATTGCTAAAATGTAATCTCAACAAACTTGGATCCTTTCCTTTCAAAATCAGCCTGTCTATCCAATCATGTCTCCTCATTGATGTCTGAATGCTTGATCACCTCCTTCTTGAAGTCTTAATCCAGCAGAGGAAAAGATGTGGCTAAACCCTGCTTTTTCTCTAAATCAGTCTTTAGCGTGAATTTGGACTTTCAACTCAAGTAGCTTCCTGTGTATGTGTGTGTGTGTGTGTGTATGTGTGAAGCCACTTATGTTAAAATGTACATTTTAAAATTATGAGCTATTCACTCAGACAAAATATATAGCAAATACCATAACGACCGCCCATATACCATTGCCCAGCTTAAAAAATAAAATGTTACCGGTGAGAAGGGAAACCACCTCCCTCTGTGTACCCATCCTCCATCACCTTTCCCTCCCTCCGCGTAAAGGGAACCATGATCGTGAATTTGGTGTTATCATTCTCGTGCATGTTTGAATAGCTACTTCTGCTTCCTTTTATTTTTTAAGCAAATCTGTTTGTAGTGCCTCGATCAGACTTTCATTTTATTTTGAGACTTGCAAAGTAGTTTAATAATCGCTATAGTCAGATCTTGTATCTCATTAGGTCAGTTTTCCTGCGTCTTCCCCCCCAACCACCATATTTTTTGACTATTTCTGCCTCTGGTGATTAAAAAAAATACATTAACTCAGTTGATCTTTATGACAAACCAGAGGTAATATACTCACATCTCTGAGAGCCTGTGTCCGTAATGGCACTGTGGTGTCACCTATGACTGTAAAGTGAACTTCCCAAGGGTTCTGCCAAAGAAAATTCTGGAGCCCACAAGGACTGTCTGGCAGGTGACTGAGAAGCAGTGGACAGTATGGGATGCAGAGAGGACATTTTTAATTCATTTGGTTTTGAATTGCCCTGTATGTATTCATTTTCTCTCTCTGGCCTGGGACACACCCAGCCAGCTGGGAAACTTTTCTAATGAAACTTTGAATTGTTTGGGGGCAGGTTATGTTTGACACAACCAAACACTTCAGTGAAGGAGCTATAAGAAGGAGAAATCAAGAAAGGCTAAAATTACAAGAGCTAGAGGAAGAAAGGAAAAAAGAAAAGAAGAGAGAAGAGGAAGAGGCTGAAAGGTGAGGAGACCAACTTTAATGAAGCGGGTTTTTGACTTTTGACTTATGGATGTATCCGTTTGGGTGAGCGGCTAGACTTGATAGATGACATTGAGGCGGGGGAGAGGGGACGAATTGGTACAGACTGCAGCACTCCACGGAAGCCTACCGTCTTTCAACTGTGCTGTTAAAAAGCGAAAATGACAAGACAGTTGAAAACAAGAGACTTAAAGAGAGGCATACTTGTCAGGGAGAACAAGTAATGAGGAGCAATGGGACTAGCCAGAGTGAAATATCTGGGAAGAAATGATTAAAAAGAAAAGGACCAGGAACTTTTATAGCGAAAATCCTAGCCTACCAACTTAAAACTTTTACCAATTTACCTGAAGTTTACCAAATTTTATCTAGCCTACCAATTTAAAATTTTAAAAAATTCTTTGTAGGTCTAGAAGAGGTTTTCTTCCATAAAACGGTCAATAATCAAACTAACCCATAGGCAAGAAGGTGTGGATTTGTTGGAACTATATATCTTGTCAGCCTAAGTTCTTTCTGTGATTTAAGGAGCCTCCATACTTATTTCTTTGAACTTATCATTGTTTCCCGGTTTAGGAGCTTGAAGCTAGAAAAGGCTATTGGATTGCCAAAGGTTTGCCAAGAAGGTACAAATGGGCCAGAACTACGGGGCTCTGAAAACCGGTTTTACCTCCTGGCCTCTCCCCTTGCATGTTTATTCTCCCAGTCTTTCATGTAAATTAAAGCCCTTCAAAAAAGGAGATAAAGAGTACCCTCCCACGTGCCTCCCTCTTTTTTGGCTGGTGGGGTGATAGGAGTTCCTTGAGGTCACATCTGTGAAACTTGGCCAGAAAGTTGAGCATTGTCAAGGGAACTATTCCCCCCAAATTACCAGACTGAACTTGCAGTTTAGATAATCCAGCTTTGGGCCGAGTCCTCACTCAGGTAATTTTCCCTTCTTTCGCCTTCCCCACATCTCCAAAAGGGCCTAACTGTTTTAGTTAGGCTAAACAGTTTAAATTTTCAGAAAACAGCAGTTAAAAACAAAAAGGCCAGGGGCCAGCCCAGTGATGCAGTGGTTAAGTTTGCATGTTCAGCTTTGGCGGCCCCGGGTTTCGCCAGTTCGGATCCCGGGTGTGGACCTACACACCGCTTATCAAGCCATGCTGTGGCAGGAGTCCCACATATAAAATAGAGGAAGATGGGCACGGATGTTAGCTCAGAGCCAGTCTTCCTCGGCAAAAAAAGAGGAGGATTGGCAGCAGATGTTAGCTCAGGGCTACTCTTCCTCAAAAAAAAAAAAAAAGAAAAAAGCCCATATTCTTTCTAAACCAGTATGTTTTTATGACAGTGTACTGTGTTAAGTAATGTGTACCAAGGACCAGTTCTCACCCTTAAGATTTTCTGAGTGCCTTGATTTACCTTTATTTGCCTGTGTGCAACCAGGTCATGGAAGCTTGTGAGCTCCAGAGAAATGAAATCATCTCTGTGAAAGCTGGATCCAGTAGTTCTTCCTTGTGGTTTGAGAAAGTGGGGGCCAGAGGGGCCCCTCCTTTGAATTCTGTAGCCACCATTTTTTTTTTTGGAAGTTTAGCCCTGAGCTAACATCTGCTGCCAATCCTCCTCTTTTTGCTGAGGAAGACTGGTCCTGAGCTAACATCCGTGCCCATCTTCCTCTACTTTATATGTGGGACACCTGCCACAGCATGGCTTCCCAAGCAATGCCATGTCCACACCCGGGATCCGAAACGGCGAACTCTGGGCCGCCGAAGCGGAACGTGCCAACTTAACTGCTGCGCGACTGGGCCAGCCCCTGTAGCCACCTTTTTTTGATACTCTCTCTCTGGATAAGGTCTCCTGTACCTTCTTCTAATTGCCCCACTCAATTCTGTGTTTTTCCCTTTGACTGATGTGTCACAGAGTCTTTTATCATCAGCTGTCCCTGTCAGGCCCTGGGGTCAGCAGTGAGAGATTCCTGGAAACCAAATGATCTGTCCTCCCCTGGCAGGGGGGAAGGAGCAGGGAGGAGAGCAAATGCCTAATAAATACCTTCTGAATGGTTGAATCTTAATCATTGTCCAGAAAAAGAAAAGAGGAGGAGAGGAAAGCCCAGGAAAAGAGGAAGAAGGCCAGGGTCAGGAGGCGAGCCCTGAAGGAAAGGGACAGACACCGGCAGAGGAAACAGAAGGACAGAGGCAAAGCTGAGGCGCCTCAGGAGCCTGACTCTTCCGAGGAGTGGGAGGCAAGGAAGTACCTGCTGGCTCAGAGGCGAGCGGAGGCCCTTCGGTTGCTGCGGGTACTCCTGAGGAAAATTGCAGTAAGGCTCTTTCCCAATTGTTCTTCAGCCTTGGTACGTCCTGATCTTTCTGAGACACAACTTTCACATTTAAGCAGTGGCCCGGTTCAAGTTGACTCCCTGGAAGACACACTGCCTTCCTTGGGGTTTGTTTTCAATGGGCTGGTCTCCAATAACCCCAACTGTGGATTCACAAAAGGGGCACCGAGATCCTCTAAAGGAGTTGTGTCTCACCCCTACCGTGTTGCACAGATGCTTTGTGTTTCTAGACTTCAGGATGGGTTTACCCAGGGCAGTGTAGCTGGTCTGCCTCCTTTTCTAAGTTCCTAATAGATGGAGCAGAACATGCCAGGGGCAGAAACGTGTGGCGTAGGTGTTGGGTTTGTAGTCTTCCACTCCCCTTGCTTGATCATTCACCTGCAGCAGGATGGGGCGAGGAGGGAGAGCCTTGAACAGAGCCCTTTGAGCAGCAAGCTCCTGTTAGTCTCATCTGAAACTATTTGCTAAGGAATTTCTCACATCACAGGGCAATTGTTTTGTTTGGAGAGTTTCAGTTTGGGAAGGGTTTTTTCCCCCACTTACTGACCTCCTAAAGATAACCAGCCTCAGCAGACATCCCAGAGTAAAGGCCAGAAAGGCTTCCCAAGTGTTAATTTAAAAATCCATATTCAGTGTTTTTAAATACAAAGAGTGAATGGCATTGGTGTTAATTTTTGCAGTCTCAGCCTTTTTCTCATTAGTGTAGACAATCAAACTTAATGAAATCAGCATAGAAAAATCTCACATTTACATCTGTAATAAGGCTGGCTGGATCTTTTTTAGTTTACCTTAATGACTGCCAAGGTTGACGCCTTTTTTAAGAATCTGTCTCTTTAAATGGGCGTGGTACCTAACTCTTGGCCCCGTGGATAGCTTATACTGATCAGAAGTCCGCAGGTTCTAATCTCAGCTAATGCGTAAGCACCGTGCCCTGATTTGTGCCACGCGTCAGTGGGAGCACTGTACAAACTCTTCCAGCAGCGTGGGGCCTGTGGGCAGCACCTCTCACCTGCCCTACGGTTGTGCAGAGTAGAGAGCATTGCAGACAGAACCATTGTCACGGCCACATTGTCCACTTGCCGTCTTGTTTCTGACTGAGGCGGGCAGGAGGAGGGCAGCTCAGAGACACTGTCACCTGCAATGCATAGGAAAAGGCTGGAATGAAAGAAATGCAGTTTCTCTTTTAAGCCAGTTGGCCCTTTTAGAGACACGTTTTACCACCCAAAAACTAGGACAAGTCTTTTCTTGTTCTAGGATTTTCTGGGAGGGCTATAGATCATTTCTTATTCCTCTTCGCATCCCCAGCCTCTAGCACAGTACCTGGAACAGTGAGTAGACCCATCAGTTTGTGAACAAGTGAAAAAAGGGTCATGTGCTTTGAAGGTGTGTAAACCGTGGTGGCTTCTAACATAAGGATGGGCACAGACCTAGTAAAAGGGGCTCGTATTAGACTGAGACATTTAATTTTGCACCTCCTGTTTCCTCAGTGCAATATTGTTCCTAATTTGGATCTATTCTAGGTGTTATTAGAGAGCTCTTCAGAACAATGTCCCAAAGCCCAATTTTCTTTGAAATGTTTAATCTGTTTAGTTTTTCATGTGAGATTTTTAACCTTTTTCTTTGAAGGGATCCACACAGTTTAATCCACAAGAGGAAAACATTGCAGGTTCCGAAGCTAATCACATGCTGGGGAACACAATGAAAACTCTGAAGAAAGAAGGGTCAAATGCTCGGTATCTTCAAAATCAGGAGGAAATGCCAAAATATCAGGTTGCCAAGTCAGGCAGTAAACGAAAACAAAAAATGAAGAAAAGAGCTAGGGCTCGCTTACGTAAATCTTCCTACTACCTTGGGGAAAGAAAAATAAGATGTTCGGCTAGAAAAGCGAGAACCAGAAAATTATTAACCTTTGAATACAATCATGGTTTTGTCTCTGACGAGGATACCTTGCAGATTACATTGATACGAGATCAGTCTCTGGAGAAAGAAGACCACCACAGTTTTGATAAATCCTGTTCTTCCAGATTATCTGAGAGAGAACATGGCAGGAAACAGAAAATCTATGAAACAGATGAATTTACTGACTATCTACTAAACTATTATCAATCTCCAAAATATGTCCGTATCTGCTTAGAACCAAGTGACATAACAAGCACATGTCAGTGGCAGAGGGCTGTCTATGCTAAGGGAAATGGATTTCAAATCAATTTGAGAAAACTTCAGTATCACTCAACCAGTTGGAGCCAAATGCAAAACCTGCAAAGGAGAGAACAGGTTCGAGAAGACGATTACCAGACAAAGATTTGTACTCAGGATACTGAGCACAAACCACAAAAGAGAGGAAAATTAGACTATGCCAAAGAATGTACTAAGGAACTTAAAAATCGTTGCAAGGACACAGCCAATGAAGCTGGTGATCAGCTGCTCCCAACCGATGGAAAAAGCCATCTGTTGGAAAAGACCCATGCTTACCAGGTCAAAGATTCCAAATCCACAAGTCAAAGCCAAGGTTCTTCACCCAAGAAGTCAGCAGACTTATATTTGGAGTTGACAGATTTCTTAGAGGATATTAGTAGTGATTCTGAATGCTTCAGTGAAATCTCCAGTGTAAACAAAGGGGAGAAACAGAAATCTATGGCCACATATGATAGCTCCCCAGAAAAAGGATCTCTTGATGCTAATGAAACCATCATTTGCAATCAAGAAGATAGGTCATGTCAACAAACCTTGTATTCAAAGCGGAAACGTGATGGAGAAGAAAAATACTCTAAATACAAGCTTCAAAAACCAGGCCAAAGGTCCAAGAATGAACTGAGATATTCATGGCTTGAGGGTGAGAACAATTCCATTAGAGACTGTAGGAGCAACAACAAAAAGAGGGCAATGCTAGCCCCCAAATACTTATTTGATGAAGGCTACTACCGCCAATCCAGTTCCAGTGGTTTATTAGATGACATCACAAGAAAGAGGAGGAGATTTAATGATAGTGCATTTGACCAGAAAGTGAACTATAGGCCCTCTTATGTGCCAATAATGCCGTCAAGAGATGCTAATACTTTCTATTTTGGAAGTTTTCCTAAAAGAAGAGAGACTTGGTGGAAGTCAGGATATAACCAGGTGGCAAAAAGGTTTACAAGACGTGAGAGTTCTCAAAATTTCATGCTGAATTCTGATACTTATTATATTAGACATTACAGTCAGGAGCATGTTGACTATGGAAGTTATTTAAGAAACAGCTACACTAGTTCTGTATATTTTCAAATGTTCTGATGGTCTCTTGAGAGGTCAGGAACACCCTTATTCACAATAAGCAATTTGCAAGAAGAAAATTTAAAACCAAATATAGCTATTAGTTAATAACTACAGAGAAAGAGAGTGACATTTAAAAGCTTGAGCAAGGTCAAATACAAAACCTTGTTTCTCTTGCCAAAGTATAAAGCCTAGAGAAAAATGACTACAGGTGTCTTAGCGAGCTTTGGAAATACAAAACATACAGATTCTGAAGCTTCGTACAACAATGTGCTTGCAAAACTTCTTTATCCAAGGACAGACGTTTCTATAGGTTTCTACAGTTCAATTGCAACTTTCATTTGGTGCCAGCAAAGGAGCAAATTAAGAGGCGTTGAGATAGCCTTCTATGGCTCTTTACCTGTCATAATGTTGTTTAGTACCATTTATCTTCAAAGGGGACAACAGTGAACAAATAAGGATCTTTTCACGTGTTCTTTGATTTGATCAGAAACACCATGTGCAGCAACAAACTTTCCCGGCTTTTCCCTAGAAATAATTATAAATAAAAGAAGAGAGATAACAGAACATATAATAGACTTCTTCATGACATTAGAGGATTTCATGAGCACCCACCAGAAGGAAATTAATCTTATTAATATGGTCATAGTACTCAAAGAGTTGTCCTTTGAGAAACAAAGTCTTGGAAGAATCTAAAAGGGACTGAGACTGTCCTTTGAGGCTTAAACAGATAGTGAACCACTAGCAGAGTTGCTTTTTGAAGAACCCCATGTCATTCCATCCTAGAAAAGCAACAGGATTGAAGTGATGTGACCAGTGGGATTTGCAAAAGGAAATATTGAAAGTTCCTGGGGCACCAATAATGGCACTTGGGAAGAGAGGACACGACAGTATTCCATTTCAGGTTATGTAATCCTTTCACTCAGGGTTGGGTGACATCACTTTGTAAAAAGCCACTGAATATCTCCAAACTGACTTTGATAAAACAGTAACAAGTGCCTCCTCAATCCTCAATAATGCCATGGAGTTAGGAAGAGTCAAGGGCAAAGCCCATAGTTTTCTATCTGGGAACAAATTATATGTGTGCAGGATTTGTAAACTCTTAACATAAGCAACTTATCTTTTTACCTACTGGTTTTGGACTTCTTGAATATGTTTTTAAATTGAGATATTTTATAGGTTTGTAAAGACTTACATCTTAATGCAGTGCATGTTCTGTTGAAAGCTCGGTTGATTCATTCTGCCTTATATTGGATTTAGGACCTCAGGGGCAGTAGATGACTTTTTTTTTTTCCAAACAAAGCTATACCTGACTTGGCAATTGAAGACTTCAATGAGATTAGACTGCCTACAGCAAGAAAAGGTGATTTTAATCCTCAGAAGTTGTGGAAGACAACATTTTCATACGCCATGATTCATTTCACACAGTCTTAACTTGATATTCTGTAGAAAAGTGCCAGCGGGTAGAGCCAAGGTGGGATGCCAGTCACTGTGGTTGCCCAGCATGACGAGGCACGATGTGTACCCATAACCAGCCTCTTGAGCAGCCTGATATCTGATCTTCTAATCTATCTAAAGTAAGCGCCACAGTGGTTTCATTGATCCTTCTAATCACCTTTAATAGAAGTATGCTGGTACATACAAAAGTTCAGAAATGAATGTCACATAGCAGCTTATGGTTATTATTAATAAGATAATAACCAATGAACAATTTGTTGACTCTCTTGTATTCAATTCTGCTTTCAAGCCAGTGACTCTGCCATCAAAACTAGATTTGGCCTGTCAAATTTGAAAAACCGCTCATAAGGCGAGTGCCTTTTCTCCTCTGAGGACTAGCAATGACCATTAACGTTCAAAGCACTGTTGTCCAGGGTAGCCTTTTAAACTACTAACAGCTTGTATTTTGTCACACAGCTTTTGGTAACTAGGTATTATTCTCCTCCAATGAGACCCTGCCTCCTTATTTTTTTCATGTTTCATGCCACTGAAGCAAAGAACATTATGGGTTTGTAATGGAAAGCAGATATGCTTGTTTTGAAAAAAAGAAAAACCTCTCAATTTCTTCTGTCATTTGATAATTTTTCTTTGTGGAGATTTTAGGCATGAAAACAATTTGCTGCTCAGTAACCAGACATAAAAAACAAATTGCAGAATACAGCATGTGCAATTTTTTTTTGTATAATAAAACTGGTGCTAAGTCACTTCTATATAATATCTTTTTTTTATGTAATACCACCCCGGGACCTAGAAGAAAGTAAAAATACTGGTTTTATGTTTACTTTCTGTACAACCTTGGATTTTTATGACTTGTGGTAATGCATTCTACATTTGAGTAAACCTCTTTTTTTGTGTAAACCTTCGATGAGGAAGAGAACAATTTATCCTGTACTTTTCAATTGAATGGCTTAGTAAGGAATGCAAAGAACCGAAAACATTGTAGTCACTTTCTATGAATTAGTGTTGTTTTTCTTTGTTGTGCTGTTATTTAAGTGGTACAAAAGTATTTTCTCATAGCTCTTTTTCTATGTCCTATTAAGTAAAGGCCTGAACTTTAGACTTTGTCTTTTTAAATAGATGTTTTCATGTTTTTCCTTGTATGTGCTGATAGTGCTTTTAGCAAGCTGAAAATCTGTCAATGTCAAAACAATTCAATTTGTTTGAATTTCTCAGGTAGAAAGCCATGTAACCTGGTAATTTTGAAAATAAGAACCAAATAAATGTATTTTTATTTGTTGCAAGACTGTTTAAAAATGTTAACTTTTAAATAAATGCTGATAATTCCACTTTGCGGCGGCGGGGGCGGGGGGGGGGAGTTTCTACCTGTAGTATGCTGCTTTGCACTACTGTTTCTGATCCTTTTTCTCATTTGCATTGTTAGAGAAATAATACATATTTAATTTTCAGATATAGTAAAAATAAAATTGTTATAGTGAATAGAGTCTTTGTTCATTTGCCACATGTATTGGCTAGAATGTCGCGCATCTATGATAACGTTTTCTAGAAAAATATACATGTCTAGTTTCAATGCTGTTTCTATGCAACTTTTCCCTTTATGATGCTCGCTTATAGGAATTGGCCCTGTCAGAGCTCATGAAACCAGTTTTATTTTCATTTGGATAAATTGAAATCATGGCATTTGGACTTAAGACTGTCCTCCCTTCAGCAAAGGTTTTATCAGTGCTCTTAAAAGGTAGCAAAATGGACTCCCTGGAATTTTATCTCATTCCTTCAGCACTCAGTGGAAGTGGTAAAGTTATACAGTATCCAAAACCAAGTGTGGGTGTGGGCTGGGGAGTCTAGTCAGAGAAGCTAGGGCCCTCAGTTATCAGTCCTTGCCCATCACACACGTGAAATGTACAACAAGCTGCCTCTAAGTATTATCTAACAAAGGCAGACTGGACCTTAGAGGACAATCTGGGCCCTTTAGAGCTGAAAGGGTCCTTGTTGGATTCAAAGAGCTCTTTCTGAAACAGCAAGGGTTGTATGGATGCTTGTTCTGGATCTAGGATTGGCTTAAGTTTGGCCCTCTGAGGTAAGGTGAATATGACATTATGCAGAGAAGCCACAGATATGGAGAGGTACTGAAAACAGTAGCCAATGCTGCTTGTGACCCATAGATGCTGGTACTGAGAACAAAGTGTCTCTGCGGGTGCGCTGGATGAAAGCAGGTGGGGAGCAGATGTTCACCTGACATCTCCCCCACGGGCACGGTGGTTGTAACAACCACTCTCTGGTCTTCTTGAACGGCGCCTTTTACATAATGTCGCTTACAAACATGTTAGCTGCATTTGTTTTTAGATCAAAGTCCTGCCTTATAGTAATATCTCTTTACAGTAATCAACACAATGTTGGTTTAGTTCTGAATGGAGAGGAATCAGGCCATTTGGGATTGAAACTTTAACCAGGCTCTGGATGTTTTCCTCTTGGCATCAGACAAACCTGTTTAACTTTGTAAAAGTAGCCTAATCTTCACATCTAAATGAGATTTCAGGCTGCAAAGGTGGCCCAACTCTCTCCCCTGCCTTCACCAGAGCATACAGTATACCAGGGTGCTTGGCACACAATAGGCCACTCAAATTATTTGTTGAATCAAACCTAGTGGGAGAAAAGGGCACATTTACAAATGGCAAAAACAGCCAATATGGTTTGATAACATCAAACATGGAAAGCTGTGAGCCGTCTTTGATTCAGGGAGTACATCCCTTGTGAGAAAACCCTGCCAATTTTAACATTAAAATGGCAAAACACTGATATTCAGAGTAATAGGTTGGCTGTGTTTATACAACTGACTGCATATGCAAATCTGATATCCTTCTTTTGACATGAGGTGAATTCACTTTGCTACTATAAGGATTGCTGAACACTTTCCTGACCAGATGATCTACCGAAACACTAACAACAAAACCTTGCCTTGGCACTTGGTTAACAACGCCTTCAGTAAAGTTACCCCTCAGTAACCTTGCTATAGACCTCAAGGTGGAGGGCTGCCTCTGAGAGTTTAGAAAGTTCTGCCTTAAAGAGGCAGAATTTGACAAGTCACAAAAAGTCAATTCAATTCACTATTTCTTAACAGGACAAGCTGGTATTTGGTTTGCGGTGTGAGGCCTCTATGAAGTTTTGCCCCTTGTTTCTTTTGGAATACAGAAAATACCTCAAAAGTCAGAGTATTAAAGTCAACATCGCTCTGAGTATTAAGCTAATGTAAAATGATTAATCTGGTTCCTTAGAATAAGGTTAAAATAAAAATAAAACAACCCACCACACTATACTGGGTAAAACCATTTTATTAACTGACCAAAGCACTTCATTTTGTTTTCTGATTTGAGGTAAAACCATTAAACACAGTTCACAAGAAAATACAATGACTATTCAGCTACAGTTACAAGAATCTGAAACCTCACTAGTTGTTCATATAATACTTTTACAAATTCATACAACTGTAGAGTCTACTTAAGCTAAGTTTACTGTTAACCAAAAGACCAATATCAAAGACCTAGACACTTGACTACTACTCTTGCAGTGGCTATAGTTTTGTAACAACAGGAGAATTATTTTTCCTTATGAATATACTTTACTTTCAAAACCACTTGGCTAGCGCTATGTACTGTGTCCTCACTCTTCAGGGCTGTGTGTGAAGGCTCTTAGGAGAGCAAACACCTGTTCCCGTCCTGCACGCCCCTCTCTCCCGTCGAACTGTGTAAAATAACCATTGCCCCACCACGAACATGGGGACTGGGAAGATAGTCCTACAATCTTCATATATTTAGGTTTTTAGGCAAGCAAGCTGATTTTCTCCAAAGCTTTCTTTTGAATGTTCAGGTCCTGTTTTAATCCTCACTCTAGATTACTGTTAGTGAGGGCGTCTGAGTGTGCAAAGGAGGAAAAGGACATGATGAAGTCTAGAAACACAGTAAATATATTATTTCTTCCAACTGAGCCCAGCTTTGAGATCTCATTTTGTTCCTGGCCAGCTCTCTGTAATCAATCCCAAAACCTTTGGAACACTGCAGATTTGCTTCAGAGGTAGATAAAACAGAAATCATGCAGTTAAGTCGATTGAGAAATAAGGGACTTGCTGTCTTTCGAGAACATTGTAACTAAAAGTTGATCCTTTGTTCTTGGCACTTGAAGGACTTTGCACATCTAACATTTTTACCTGTTTTTGGGAAACACCCAAGTCTTACCTGTCTCTCAGGAAAAACAAGTCTGAATTCAGCCCGTACTAACTACAGATAAAAGAAGAACAGTAATCACATTCGTATTACAGCACTGCAGTTCACTTTCTGGATTTGTGACACACAAACATATCATGCATTCTAAGACAGAAGTTAATTTTATCAGTGTCACTAGTGATGTTAATTAAAAAAATTTACAGCAAGTTCAAAACTTTTCTAAATATTGAAATCACCATGTTTTAAAGACAGACTGGAATGTTACAAATGATTCTGAAAAATACAAAAATAGATATGCTTCCACTGAATGCTTTAATCATTTTTCCGAGCATTCTCGTCTTTTGGTTCTTCCTCATCTGAGTACACGGTGGGCTCCTCCCCCTCCTTCAGCAGTTTGCCCACATGATGGTACTTGACTGGAGGTAGAGAAGAAAACACAAATGGTCATTCTCATGCTTCCTAGAAAATCACTACATTTCATTTTAAAGCATTTATTAGAGGCCTACAATCTACACAGCAATGTATTTGTTGGGCTTCTTGAAGGATAGATACAAAGGTGGTTTGTACCACAGTCCTTGCCAACTAGGAATTAAGAGTGTTGTCAGAAGACAGAAATATAAAACGGGTAGCAATGTCTGACAATGAGTGTGCCAGCTAATGTCAAAATGAGTTGTTTGTGTGTAAGTGTTGAGAAGAGCAGAGGCTCATTCCGAGTTAGAAGAGTTGGAGAACACTTCGTCGAGGAAGAATATGCTTTTGAAAATGTCTAGAAGGATTTGGGGAGGGAGGGATTTCCAGAAAATGAAAACAGCACATACAAAGGCATGCAGGTGAGAATGAGTGGATCTGGGGAGCAGTAAGGAGACCACGTTGGCAGGAGTTGGAGTAGGAGTAAGGTTGCCTAAGCAGCGTGGGGGAATATGAAGGATGTGGAAAGCCAGCCTGAGGAGTCTGAACTTATCCTATAGGTGGCAAAGGGCACTGAAGATTATGACAAAGGAATGACATGGTAAAATAGTGCTTTGGCAACAACGGTCTCATTGTGGTGTACAGGGCAGGTAACAGTAAGGCGAGACCAGGAGCAGGGTGACCAGGAGGCCAGCTGTTAGATCCACATGTGAAGGAACAAGAGCCAGGAGTAGGGGGGTGTTTATGGGAATGGAAAGGGAAGGATATGAGATACTTTAAAGGAAAACTGGAAACGTGAGTTAATGAAGTGAAAACTGGAGGTTCCATGGACCGAAATGGGGACTCTGGAGAGGGAGCCACTATGGAGGGTGGCTTACAGCAAGGACTGGAGATGATAGTATTTGCAGGAAGTAGGTCCCTGGAAATCTTTGAGAAAGAGAGTTCAATCAAATTGTGAGGACAGAAACCATGTTATAGGGAGTAAGGAGGTAGAGAGAGGAAATGAAGCAGGGGTTAGGGACGCCTACTTATTAGACAATTGCTAGACAGCGAAGGGAAGGAGTGTTAAGTTTGGTGGATGGAGAGGATAGCAGGAGACAGAATTTTCCCCCAACATAGGGAAAAAGCTCTCTGTAGTTAAAGGAAGTGATAGAGGAGGAAGCAGAGCACTGGAGATGTTGGAGAAAACAGATTTGAGAATGCAAACCAGATGCAAAAGACTTGAGAAGGGATGGAGTCAGCAAACCACTACCATAATGGCTGCATAACTGCGGCCAAGCTAATGCAGAGTTAATGATCTCAACGGCAGAGGCCAAGAGGCCCAACTCTCCTCTTTCAGAATATGGGTAGGAATTGGAGTAATCAACCTGTCAAACCAGGTAACCAGAGCTGCTTCTGTGTGGAATAATCATCAGGAACAATTGGAACTTCCCTATTTGAATGTAATACAAAGGTCCCTGGGGTGCTTGGCACTGTGAAACATAAACAAAAGCTGGGGGACGCCTGAGAAACCTGCCTTAAGGGGAATTCACACCAGCTTTGAGTGCAGTGGAAGTGTCACAACAGTATCTGGAGCTAGCCTTAGTTTAAGGGGGAAAAACATCACACTTTTTACCCCATTGATGAAGGCAAGCCCTAGAAAATAGAGCTTTGTAAGTTATAAATCACAACTTGTTGGTTTCATATAGGAGAATCTATTGTTACAAAGGCATCCTTAGGATGCAAAAAATGAAGGACTATGGGGCCAGCCCAGTGGTGTAGTGGTTAAGTTTGTGCCCTCCACTTTGGCAGCCGGGGGTTCGTGGGTTCAGATCCCAGGCACAGACCTACACACTGTTCATCAAGCCATGCTGTGGCGGCATCCCACATACAAAATACAGGAAGACTGGCACAGATGTTAGCTCAGGGACAATCTTCCTCATGCAAAAAGAGGAAGACTGGCAAGAGATGGTAGCTCAGGGCCAATCTTCCTCACCAAAACAAAACAAAACAAAGGACTATGTTAGATAGTTGAATTATGTTTTCAATGTACAAAGACTTGCCTCTACACTTGAAAGCTCTACTTAGTCTGCTTGGGATCCAAACTCTAAAGGTAGAGCCATATCTGGCTAATTATTAACCCAGAACTCTCTGTGAAGTCAGCAGTATTTTCAAAGAAAATGGTTGAATTTGGCCAAAAGAGCCACTAATATGGAACTGATTATAGAGAACGACAAATAGAAAACTATATTTTAAACGAAAACTCTTCCTCAAAGAGATGCTCATGGTCTTTATATACTGCTTGAAAACTGGGAAAGATTATTATTCAAATTCTTAGCAGTGAAATGTTGCTAAAGTGATAATTAAACACTTAGGTTTGACAAGAGCCAATTCTTCAATTCTCAAAATTGAACTTAACTCCCATCCTTACTTCCCCCCAAAGACCTCAGCCCATAGCATAAGCCAGGAAACAAGTGTCTGCTTTTTTCTTTCTTTTTAAAAATGCAGACACCCTCGTTGCTGGGCAGATTATAAGCGTCATTTGTAGACGAGGCCTAGAGTTAGGCTCAATTAGATTCAAAGAGAAGCTGTTTTGTAGAATACAAGCCTCCCATTCTTCAACAGAAATGTGGGCTGCTTTTAAACGGCAAGCTCTCCAAGTGAGGGCTCATGAAAATCCCTTTCTGTAGCCAAGATGGCCGCTCTCCTTTCCCCTACACACCAAGCGGCGAATCCTAGTGTGGAATCTGTGCAAACCTCTCAAAGATTTAAAAAAGCAGAAACCCAGGTTTCCCCAGAGAACTAGCTAAAAATTGGTATGCAATCACAGCGAGTGACTCAGCACTGCTGCGATTACTTCAAGCCATGAACTTGATCCGTCCAAGATTCAGGAGCCTATCAAAATGCTCCCCAGTTTCAGGCTGCTTTCAGGCTGGTAATAACTATTGTACGGCTTTGAGTGCCGTTACTGGTAGAAATTTGATCCAGGCACAATTTAAAAAGCGCTCACAAGTGAACTGAGAGTCCCAGTCACTCAGGGTCTCCTGCTGGGCAGGAGTGAGGTCAGAAAGGTCATCATACTCGTCCTTCAGTGCTTCTTTATCCAGGCAGAATGTGGCAAGGCCCCTGGATGCATCTCTTCCAGCAAAGACCCCGTACGGCCCCTCTTTAAAAAGAAAACAAAAGCAGACACCGATTCTTTATTAGACAGTCAATTTCTCTGTGGTTCATACACAGAAAATGGCTTCTTTACCCAACCACAAAGAAAGGCCCCTTTTGGAATATCAAATTCCATTCAGAAACCAGAAGTGATGCTGATACTTTGATTGTTATGTAGTGGACACTGAAAGACCTGTTGTCATTAAACCTTTAAATAACTCAAACTAAATCAAAATGTTAAACATTATCAACCACTTCCTGTGATTTTAAAATAGCCAATCAAAAAGCCATAAATGATTATCTCCTGGGGAGGTAGTAGGGAATGATCCAGAATAATACTGAGTTCATGGATCAGAATTCAACTTTAGGACATTGACCCCAGAGCCTGGCTCGGTTCTAGGCAGTTAAGCCACACCATTAAAAAGTATGGTTTCTTAAGACAATAAACATTAAGCCTTTAGTAAATGAAAACATTTCCTTATAAATGTATTCTGAAGCATTTTAATGAGTCGAAAGTATATTATAAGAGATCTTTGGTTGCGAGAGTGTATTAAATATTAACATGTGGCTTTGGCAGGAGAAATCATTTTATAAGAGTATCATTGGTTCAGAAATCTATCCACATGTTACATAATCTTCACTGTCAATAAAGAAGAGAGAGCACAGAAATCAGCTCTGTCACTGTTTTTGGTGGGGTTGAAAAGAAGACTGAAAGTACTAAAACTTTCATGGAAAAAAAGGCTGAATCGATACCCTCCCCCCAAATTCTAAAAAA